TAGATTTAGAAGCCACCATCTTCTTGAATAATGTTGGGTGTTTGTCAAATTGAACAAGCAATGTGTTGGCTTTGATGGTAAGAATAAAACCTTGGATAACATTCTTTAGTTTTGACAATTAGGTGTTAGAGATAAACATGATCAATAAGAATGTGCAACTTTTGTTAGATTATATATGCTTTTCAACTTTTTGTTCTTCCTCCCCAAGTTTTTGAAACCCACTAATCAACTCATCATCGGCTAAATTTTAAAATATATCGATATAGACACTATCAATAGATTAACAAGATTTTGTATGAGAGTATAAGACAAACTAAAATCAAAGTAATTTGCAACGAGCTTATGATGACTTCTTTTCTTTTTCTATATTATAAGGGTGACCCTTAGCTTATAGTAATGTTTTAATATAAACTATTGTAAGTTTGCCTCACACTTAAGGCTCTTGCCATGTACGAATTATAGTCGTCATAAATTGCCTAATAGCTAACTACTAATTGTAGGGTTAGTTGATATTAATATTGTAAGTACATGATTTAACACAAATTAGTGCCATGGCTTGTAGAAAGGTGAATCCTTTTCCATGGGTGCAAATCTTTGACTTTAATAAATATAGACGTTGGATTTCATATATATCAAAACTTTATTTGGTTTATGTTTGCAAATCAATGTATTTAGACTTTGATACTTTTCTTCTGCTTCTTTTTGAATTTTTGCTTGCATTTTAGTAAATTTTACGATTACTATAATGGGTTTCAACAATGGAATTTTTTGCTTCTTTGACTTAAATGCATTTTTCAAACATTGCCCTTTTTTTGTGTGGATTGAGTAGTGATTTTAACGTAAAAGAAGAAGTGACAATTTCACCAAGTTCATTAAGTTCTAATAATAGTTTTTCCTTTGAAATGGTCTTTCACATAAAAATTAACCTAAAGTCTTCCTCACATCTCTTCAAGCTAACAAACAACAAACAAATATAAAGTTTGAAAATCATGTTTTAAAGGTCACACACCAATCCAATTCAATATCAGTATGTATACGACAAATAATTAAATACTCCCTCCGTTTCACAATGATATTTCCGCTTAGAATCTTTGACTTTTAAAAAATAAGAGAGAATCTTCTAAATTTCTCTTAATCTATAAGAACAAATATAGTCATATGGGATCTAGTTTGATTTGTATTGGTGAGTACATTATTAATATTTAACTTTTATAATTTTTGCTAGTGTGAGATTAAAGATATTTACGGTCAACGACAGGTAAAAATTTGCATTGATTTACGTAAACGGGAACATCATTCTGAAATGGAGGGTGTATTACAGAGTATATACATATTCACCAGTTTGGAAAATAATATATGTAGGAAATCATTAAGAGTAAAATAAAATGGCTTAAATACTGTATAAATTATAAAATTTTGTTAAAATAACCTAATAATTAATTTGTGCCGCCTTCGAGCAAAAATGTGACATTATCAAGAATGAAGAATGTAATACGAAGTATATTTCCTAATGATTTGCAGTTAATTAAATAGTTCAAATAGATTAAAAAAGATAGCAATGCAATTAATACGGTCTTGGCTCCGTGATAAAAAGGATATGTGTTCGAATTCCATTTCTTCTATTTGTAATTTTTAATGAGAATGACCATATTAAAAAAAAAAAAAAAAAAAAAAAAAAAAAAAAAGAGGATAGTGGTACCTGGTAGTCTGGTACCAATGAAAACTTAACATGAAAAAACAATGATAAAGTTCAGTTGGGCCTATTGATTTATTAATTCTAGTTGATTCTGGCGTTCTATCATATCAGCTATCAAGAGATTAAGACACTAATTGGCCCATTTCTTACACAAAAATAGCCAATATTAACCCGCAAATGCTTAGCTACACACTTATGCAGCTAAGCTAGCTGCACTATTATATCCATTTATAAACATGTAGTAATTTAAAAATGAACATACGTTCTCTATATCTTAACTCTCTCTTTTCTTCTTTATTACCTCTATTAATTTTCTCTCCCCTCTGTTTTTTCTCAATCTGAAATTTTCTCTCTCCTCTTTTTCCCCCCCTTTTTTATAAGTAAATTTTCTTTTCTTACCTCACTTTCCTTCAATCTTTATACTTCTTTATCCTTCTAATTCGGATATTCTCCAATTCGTCACCATTGTAGCATTATCCATCATCATCATCTTCGTCACGATCGTGAAACTTGAGGTAATTTTGATTTTTTTTTTATTTTTTTTTAATTATAAATATGTGAATGTTGTAAAATTATTGATTTTATCAATTTTGCATTTGTGTTTCCTAATCTATTATGTTATAGATCGATAATTATTGTCTCTATGATGAACTAAGATTAGATTTAAGGTAGATTTTCAAATTTTTTAGACTTAAAATAATTACAATTGAATGTTGTGTTCTGTAAATAAAAAAAATATATGAACATACATCACTTTAAAATTGAACATTTAATACACTAAAAATGAACATTAGTATATAAAAAATGAACATAATTAAACGATATATTTTATCTTTATTTTTTGTTGATTATTATATACAATAAATTTGAACCTATATGAATATATGAAAATCATGTTCATTTTTAATATACTAAGCGTTCATAATTTTTTTAAACGTGTTCATTTGTTTATGTGTTTATTTTTTTGTACTAAATGTTCATTTTATATAATGTATTCATATATTTTTATGAAATGTTCATTTTTACTATACTAAATGTTCACATATATATATTTTTTGACATGTTCATTTTTTATTTCTTATTCATTTTTTTTACGTGTTCATTTTTGTATTACTAAATGATCATTTTATTTTTTACGTCTTCAATTTTTTTTTTTTTTTACCAAATGTTCATTTTTAAGGTCGTGGTCCATCAATTTTATGATTATATGATAATCATGATCACTTTTAATATACTGAATAATCATTTTTTTTTAACATGTTCACTTTTAAATACTAAGGCCTTTTTTGGTTGACAACATAAAATGGGGGGAAGTGGAAATTCATGGGATTTGATAAATTGAGGAGTTGTTTGGTCGACACAAAAAAACAAAAATGAGGGAAGTGGAAATTCATGGGAATTTCAACTTCCCACAAAATAAGGGAAGTAAATTACCTAGCCCCCCAGGTCAATCAAAATTCATGGGATTTCTAAATTCCCACATTGCCGACCAAACAAATTTAGGAAATTCCTAGATATTTCATTAGGGAAATATTTAATTCCCATGTCAACCAAACAAGGCCTAAATGTTCATTTTATTTTTACGTGTCCATTTTATTTTGTTACAAAATGTTCATTTTTTTTATGTGTTCATATTTTACTAAATGTTCATAATACAGGGCATTGTGCAGCTATCCAGGGTGCACATAAGACTTATTGATATCAACCTTCCTTCATATAGCTAATTTTGCTTCTTTATGGTAGGGCCAATAATTAATAAATCGCGCAAGTTCTATCTTACTCCCAGAGTGCTGTGAGCATGGTATTCCGGGGTCAAAATGATGTCGTTTTTAGCTTGAACAATATGTATATAGTCAGCCTCTTCCTCTATTTCCCCTCCTTCTTCCCGATTGTCTCCCTTTACTTCCTAAAATTTTTTGTTTCCCTCTATTTTCTTTCAATCTCTATGAATTTAATCCCTTTTTTCCAATTGCTAATTTTTCGTTCTGATTTTTCTCTCAATCCAATCAATCACTCTTTTTCTCATCTCCTTTGGTCAATTACTTTTCTAAATTGAAGATGATTTGCGCAATTTGTTGGGTATCGACGTTGATGATGCTCGTTGTAGCAGTACTGAATCTGCTCTTGTTGATTTTGATGCGGAAATCATTACAGATCTAAAATAACATTTATTAGTTCTAAAATAATATAATCTATAACAATTATTAGTTCTAAAATAATATAATCAGAAATAACATTTGTTAGTTCTAAAATAATTTTTCTAGTTATAAAAATAGTATGCTTCTATTTGTAAAATAACATTGATTATTTTTAAAATCATAAAATCTGAAATAACATTGAGTAGTTCAAAAATATGTTCAATAACAATAAATAACCTTTTTAGTAACTGGAATAATATATACCTTTAGTTAATGGACTTGAACTACTTGCTGCTTCAGTGGAATAATATATAACATGTCTTCGATGGATGCAATTGAAGAATTTTCAACCGTTTCAAATGGTGAAATAGAGAGAGAAAAAAGAAGAGTGATAGTGGAGAGTGAAATGAGGATGGTGAAATGAATTGATTCGATTTTCGTCTGTTTTTATTTTTTATTAATTTTTTTTATACTACGTATATAGGGGTATGTTTTGATGTAATTTCGTTTTGTTAATTCGTTATTTTATGAAATGAATTCTAGCATGCTTTTTTTAAGTTGGGTTTCTAGCCCATTTATTAGATTGGGCCTAGAATACAATACTAGGTACTACAGGAATACCTAATACAAAATTACAAATTGAATAAATCGTACTCTTTAATTAGGTACCAATTTTCTACTTAGAGATGCTTTAAATATTTTTATTTGACAAATACATTTTATGATGTTATTCTTATACTCTACAGTATTTACATCTTTTACTTTATCAACCAATGACTATATTAAAGTTAAATAGGGAGTGAACACAATGGTTAGATAACTAGGTTATACAATTGACTATTGAGAACATGATGTGCATTATGTTCGAATTATGTATTAAATATATACTTCTTTCGTTCCCTAAATATTGCACTATCTGGATTTTAATACTTCTATTCAATTACATGTAGGAATAATATAGTCATGTGAAAACATGTTAGATCCGTGCAATACATGGGGCAGAAAGGAAGTATTTTGCATCCTTCGATGTTACTGAAATCTACTCTGAACTTTAGCGCTTTTAAGAGAATTTACATCATGTTCCCGAGTATAAGACCTAGTTTGCCCCTATTAGCTCTTAATCCCAAGTTTAAAATGATTCTGCTTGCTGAAAATCTGGGGCTTACTTTGTAGTGTATATGTGTAATGATGTTCAAATAATAATATGGGCTAAATTTTCTACAGCATTCCTTTCTCCTGTATAGTCTACTGATTTACAGTATACTTGTAACTCACACTGCAGGTATCTCTAATGGAACACCTGGAGTTGGCTCAAGCACCTTCGCATCAGGCAACTCTTTTGATAAAAGCTCCTGGATTCAATAGAAAATATTCCATCAGTTCCACGTCGAAGATAACAGCATGAACAGGCTCAATAAATTGAACCCTAAAGCATATACTTAGTTTAATTTCATTCATAAAGTCACATCCTTTCAAACTACTATGCTATCTTCTCTTGTGCTATACATAGCAGCAAGTGATCGAGGCCTTGAAAGGAAGAATTTATCAGTACCTCAGAGTCATAACGGCCAGAATAACAAGCTAAATAATATATTTACACTACTATGTATTTTCATGCAATAACAATGCACCCACATGATTTTGACAAAAATTCCCAACTTACAACGTCAACCATGTTGAGAATTGTATTGAATGTGTCAGAAATAAAATGTGAGGCGTACAAGAATAACAGGAAAGACATCCGTTTACTGATGGACTGGAAACATAGAGAGTAGTATATCCTCGTGTCATTAGACAAACTAAGAAAAAATATGCAATGAAAAGAAAGTATTGTAGCTAAATTGACGGTACAGCCAATCCAAGAGTCTCAAAGTGTGGGCATTTGACTAAATTTACAAGCACCTATTTGAAACATAAACAGCAACTATGTAGTTATAACTAGATTTTGTTCGAATTAGATAATTTAATACCACGTTAGGAGCCCTGGAGGAGTTCTTTGACAAAGCAGGTAGAAACTGAAAGTTAAAATCTATCAATATAACACAGAACAGCTGTAGGAAGACAGTGCGATTCTAACTAATGCACCAAACAAACCCCAGAATAAAAAAGCTTCTCTAATCATCTAATGTGCTGCAAATTCATGAATGTCAAATTAGGTCCACAACTTTGGATAATGGAAGGTTTGAACTTTTAACTACTTGATTTGGCATATAAAGCAATTTCAGGTTTAATTGACAAGTGCCACCAGTTATCTTGTTTCTTAACCCTTACAAAAATGCATCACATAAAATATATTTTCATACTGCAGAATATACAGATTAGCCTATTTTAATTTTATAAACTTCTCCATTTTTTGGGGCTGGAAAACTATGTCATAGAAAAACAAAGAAATACGTATCTTAACAAGAGAATGGAAATACCTACTCTCCTATTTTGTTCAGCTATGTTTATCTTTATTGACTCAAAAAATTAACAACATTCACAAAGATTATGAAAATTGGATAAAATTACTACATTCATTTCAAAACTTCCCAAACAACAGAGGCGGATAAACAATATGAATTAAATGCATGTTCTTTCACAATACGAAGTATTTGGTTTTCAGTTTATCAATTATATAGACCAAAATTTCTGATTGATCAGTTGGATTTCATGTTTATCAAAGAATTGTGGCCTCAGGTATAGAATTTTGACAAAAATTCGGCTACGAAAATTATTAAATTATAACTTTTAAAATCAGTATACTCACAAAAGATGTACCAACATTTTTTTATCTAATAAAAACTAATTTGCATCTGTAATGTGCCACTTCACAACAGATGACAAACTGTGTAAACTAAAATTAGAGGTTTGGCTCTGCAGCTAGAAGTCCTCCTCTCCTCCGACACCAAAATGACCAGGGTGATTTCAATTCTGATAAGTGCCCAGATAGATAAGTAACTGATAGTCTGTGCTTTAGCATGTCCTAAAACCTTACAAGTAAAACTAAATCGTGTCAACCAGAAGTGAATAAATTATTGATGACATGCAGGATGTTCTACTAATTTTTATTCACCATCACATGATGGAGCTGTATGCCTTTCAATCCAATTATGAATTTATTCACAAAAATTCAAAATTCCTCATTATAATTTCAGAGCACCTTTGTTTGTGCTACCTAATTGATGAAAAATACATGCATGAGAACCGAAAAGTTTCTGAAGCAAATCGAATATAAGTATCTCTGAAGCCAGGCTCTTTGTTTCAATTACTAGAAAGTAAAACAAAGAAGACTTCAATATGAAAAGCAATTGCAGCTAAGCAGTACATGCGTTCAGTTTAAAATTGATGTAAATACTAGTGCTGCTTCATATTAGCAACAAAATCTGAAAAGTAGGAGAAGAAGCCAAACCTTAAAAGATTCCATGGTTCCTTCAGATTGAATTAAACTTGAAAGAAGCCCTTTGGTTTCAAGGTCTCCATTCTTCATCGGAACAACAAACCTTCGATTATAACAAATGAAAATTTGAGAATGCATGAAACAGTAAATTAAATAAACCGATGAAGAGACAAGTCAATAAGCATATACTTGGCACGTAATAACTTTGCAAGTTTAACTGCGTCTTCTTGCCCAGAAACAAGAGTAAATTTTGGTAGAAGCTGCTTTATGACTGGTGTAATGACAATATCTGCCTGCCCATTCTTCAAATTTTCCTCATTGTAGACGCAGTGAGGTTCATAGTAAAGTGTCAGCTGGCCTTCAGAAGAAGATATAATGTATCTGCCAGATATTTAGTTACTTACACTGTTAAAGATAGGTTGAAAATACAAATATTCTAATATGGAAAATTCCAAAGCTTAAAGCATTATTTTGCTTGAAACGGATAATAAGTTGCATGCTCTATGAACCATACCCATTCTCAGGCCGCTGCCAAGGTGGACCAAGAACTGGCCCAGCAGTGGCACATATTCCAACTTTTGCACCATTCCTTCCCTCAATTTCTGTGGTTTCACCTGGTTCGAGATATGTCACCTGAAAATCAAGACACGAGAAAATACATTGTGGAGATTGACAAGGATATACCTTAAGAGCTGAAGCATATGAAAGAAAGCTAAAACTTGGTTGATGAACACACACCAAAGCTACTAGAGTACAAAAAACATATACTTTCTTGACTCAACCCAAAAACTAACATGATAATATCAAATTATTTATCATAACAAAGTAACAAGCTAATTGACTATATACACGAACTGAATATGACTTGAATCGACCTGAAACAAACTTCATGTCTCACCACCCAAATTTGACACATACTGAAAAGATTTAATCTGACCTTGATCCGCGTATCCCATTTTCCACCTCAAGACATTTGTCATATAGGGAAGAAGAACATTCAATTTACTTAGTATAACTTATATCGAGTATATAATTGTCATTTTGAAGTGCTCCTATTATAGATTAGGATAGATGTGGGTAATCTCATGTGTTGATATGGAGCGTGTTGTGGATCATCTATCTACAAGACCTTGATATTTCCAAACTCGAGCCTCTTGATGGCACTAACTACTCCCACCAATTATTATCTAATTCAAATGAGTAATTAGAGATGGACTATATATACGAAATATAGACTTATCTAAAATCCAACTCCTGATCTCCTGCCCTTAAGATAGTTTGCACTTTCATCAGAGGCAGCTTTGCTAATGCTGAGAAAATTAAAAAGTATGAGGAAAAGATCAAGATGATTAAAAGGTCACCTATTGAGCCATATCAACAATCTTGTGTTTGATCTCTCTCCATCAACCAATATGCCAATTTTTTTTGGGAGAGAGAGTATGCAATGATGATCTAGGGAAGAAAAGATGCCTAGTTGGATACGGACCCAAAAGGTGAGCGACAAAATAATCATGGAACAAGTTCAAGAATACGAGAAGTTTACTTCCTAAATGAGCTAAGTAAGTTTAGATGTGAAGCACTGCACACAAAAGTCAGGCTAATCACCTTAAAATTTCAAACATAGGACCTAGAAGATCAACATGAAAGTCAAGGAAGTTAATCGACCAGCTGATAAGAACTCTCCTCAAAATGATTCGACCAGGCACTCGCCATCCAATCCATTTCATTGTTCAATTCTTTGACAACACGAAAAAACCATTGGTCAACTCTGAACTTTCCGTTAAAGCTAAAGTAGTGGAACTTACTATTCCTAAGAATTACAGGCCTAAGAAGGTGTTGTTGGTTACTACAAGAAAAATTACAAGCAACTTTGTGACCTGAGCAAGACTAGAATATTCAAGAGCTTCTTTCAACAACACAAAAAATAAAAAAAAATAAAAAAAAAAAAGAAAAAAAAAAGAAATTTCAAGAACTGGAAGACGAACAAAGGAGGGAGAATTAAATTGCCCCTTTATATTTTTGACAAGGGCCTACTATGTTATAAATTTTTATTTTTTTCCAGAACTAAAAGTTAGGTCCTACACTCCTACTTGTTCACATTCAATTAAAAAGTTACCCCACCATCTTTCGTCATACCTACTTTTTCCAACATAGCAATTGATAACCACACCATATCTTATCACCGAATACTATGTACCTAAAGAATGGGGCACACTATTATGGGGTGATGGGAGTACAATTGAGCCTTTGAGGGAATCTAGGAAGCAAAGCATTTCATAATCTCAATGCTTCCATTGTTTTGAAGCTCGGAAGTAGGGGTGGGTATAATCACAACAGCTTGTGAACGGTTTGGACTCATTTCAGTCCAGCTTGACTCGTTTTGTGAATGAGCTAAAATTGAATTTAATATTAGAGTTTGATCACTAAAATGAACATGAAACTGAATTTGGCTCGTAGGCTTGTAAACTTTAGAAATACTACATATATTTAAAATAAGAATGAAATTGTTACAATTTCCTATACTAAAGCCTAACTTCACGTATAATTACAAAGATAAGGTAATTTTTTGAATGGGCTACATGAAACGAACACTATCAATAGAGCCAAGCAACCAGTAAAAAATGATATTACGACATATTGAACTTGAACTAGATTTTTTTTACTGGGAGAAGATATTATGAGGCTTTCTTTCGAGGCAAATCTTGTTTCATCTTATAAATTTAAACACCACTTAGCAGTTTGAGTCAAAAGTGAAATGGGACCTATCATGTTGGGAGACTTGGTACATTTGTAGAAAATATAAGCATGGATTGGTCAAAAATATCCAAAGCTTAACCTGCCAGTAACTTACAAGATGGGCATGGACTATAACAGCCAGTCAGGAGCTTTTACTAACAAGGCAGGTAATTCTCAGTGCAAGATGCATATATCTTCAAGGAGGTCTACATACTATTTAAAAGTGTATCTACAATAAGAAGTTAACAGTGATTAATTCTAATAGTGTAAGAGTATATGTGCCTTTTAATGGGAGTACGGATTGAGCTGGTCTTACTAAAGGTCTAAGCAGTATGTGAAGTTGTTTCTGTATGTGGTACCCATAATGATCTATTAATCTTGTAGTATGCTTCACATGCATATAGTTGATGACTGAAGCTGTGCAATGACCAAATTAAATTATTTTAGTCAATACCTAGGTTGAGGGCATGCACAAGCATTTCGGATAATCAATTTGGTTTTATGCTGGGGAGATCTACTATGGAAGCAATCCATTTGATAAGACAAATGATGGAGTTTTATAGGGTAAAGAAGAAGGATCTTCATATGGTCTTTATTGATTTAGAGAAGGCATATGACAAGGTGCCAAGAGAGGTACTTTGGTAGGCAATGTTGAAGAAAGGTATACCACGAATATACGTGGACCTGGTTAAGGATATGTATTGGGATGTGTCAACAAATGTGAGGACACCTGGAGGGTTGACAAAGATTTTACTATTACAATTGGATTGCATCAAGAGTCTGCATTAAGCCTTTTTCTTTTTGCAACGGTTCTAGATGAAGTAATTAGACCAATTCATGATGAAGTTCTATAATGTATGTTGTTTGTGGATGATATCGTTTTGATGGATGAAACTAAAGATGAAGTTAATGCCAAGTTGGAGCAATGGAGGCAAAACTTGGAATCTAGAGGGTTTAAGCTAAATCAGAGGAAGACTGAATATTTGGTATGCCGCCTTGGTACTCTAAGGGGGACAAGTAATGATGTGGTGAGTTTGGATGGAAAGGACTTGACCATGAGTGAATCTTTTAAATATCTTAGGTCGATCAACCGGAAAAATGGTGACATTGACCAAGACGCGGCCTAAAGGATTAAGTCGGGTGGCTTAAATGGAGAGCGGCAACGGGAATGTTATGTGACCGAAGCATTCCTTACAGTTGAAGGGAAAATTCTACAGGATTTCCATAAGACCAGTATTGCTCTATGGTACAAAATGTTGGGCTTCTAAGAAGAAGCACATTAAAAAGATGGAGGTTACGGAAATGCGCATGTTAAGGTGGATGTGCGGGAACACTCTAAGAGATAAAATCAGAAATGAGGTTATTTGCAAGAAAGTAAGTGTGGCAGGCATTGCATACAAACTAAGGGAAAATCGCCTACATTGGTTTGGACATGTAAGACGGAGATCCGAGAGTGCACCGGTACGAAGAGTGGAAGAGTGGGACCATGGAGGGGTTAAATGAGGGAGAGGGAGACTGAAAGTGACTTGGAAGGAGTTAGGAAGAATATGAAGTATATGGATTTGTATGAGGATAAGGCATTGGATCGTAAGGGAAGGCATTGGATCGTAAGGGATGAAGGAGGAAGATTTCTGACACGGAATAATCAAATTTGGTTCATGTAGCCGACCCCACTTATGAGATTAAGGCTTTGATTAATTGAGTGAATACTTCAGAGATGAAGAGGCTTTGGTTCTTCAGCAGTTTCTAAAATTGTCCCTGATATCTACGTGTCTAACAGTCTATATCTCCTAGCCAATGCAATTATGCATGTGTCTAACTGTCTATATCTCCTAACTAATGCAATTATGCAAAGCATACAACCCTCATTTCTAAAGCAAGAAAGAGAATAATATATATATACATACATACCTTGCTTAAAAGAGAATCCAGCATTGCCTTAGCATTAGGTGTAGCAACTACTTGTAAATTAGGGAACTTTGCAGAGAGTGGCTTCAAGGTCTTTAAATGGCAATGATCGTCCAAACTTTGTGTGATTATTAGACAGTCCACTTCAGGAATATCACTAAGCTGCAGAACAATGCATCAGGGTCATTAAACAGCTAAGCTGGGGTGGTAAGAGGAGAAATAACAAATTCTGACTATAAACTGATCATTCATTAGCAGTTGAATAACAAGATCCAGAAGCACAATACCTGAAAGTTCTTCAAGAATTTCTTAGTAGCATCATAGAGCCATGGAATGCCAAAATCCAAACTTCCCACCAAAACTGGATCCACCAATAGCTTCACATTACCTACTTCCCACAACCAGCTATTTCCCTATAAAATCCACCAAACAATGATAAATCAAACTATCCATAAACACACTAGAGCAGGATAGGACAAGCTTTTGAGTTGCCACATCCCATGTATCCAATAGTTATCAATACTACGTTATATGCTCTATAATGGATTTCTGGGAACATAGGAGAAATATATCAAACACGAACAATATAAAAAACTGAAATGGTGATCTTAATCAACAATTCTACTCAACAATATTCAATAACAAATCTTCCTCCGTTTATTCTAGTTGACACATTTGCCAATGTGCAATTTTAAATTTCAATATCTACGATTATTTAAAGGATAAAATTATAAAGTTTATCTCTGAAAATATAAACATCGAAATGAATCTAATAAGACCCTACATAACTGAGTCACAAATTGGAGTCAAAGGCCATGTTTGGTAAATGGCCTTTTGGTTACCTTTTGGCTTTTGGCTTTTTTATGTGGTCAAACAGCCAAAAAAAAGAGTTTGGTAATTGGCTTTTCATTTAGCGAAAAAGTTGGCTTTTAAGACAATTAAAAAGCTACTTTGAGTAGCTTTTTTTTGTTGGCTTTTGGCTTGTTGGCCCACAAATTATCTAACAAACAGCCAGCAACTAAATTTACCAAACACTTTTATAAATAGCCAGCTTAAACCGCCAATTTCAAAAGCCATTATAAACAGCCAAACATTCCAACTAGTCAAACAAGCCAAGTAAACCAGCCAACCGCCAACATAAACTAGCCTACTGCCAACCGCCAACGGCCATTTGCCAAACAAGGCCAAAGTATGTTATGTAAATAGTGTCCAAAGTCAAATTGTGTCAACAAATATAAAACGGAGTAAGTAGTAAATCTCCACTCCAAAGTCCCTAATATACTACTCCCAATAGCCACATACGCTACTACAGGATATCACATTTCATAGAACGGTAATGATCTATGACATATTAGAACCTTATACCTTTACTAAGATTGAGTGAAAAAAATAGAAGAAAGTCTAAGCCAGTATCCATGATCAATGTCACACACAAATACAATAATATATTCCATGGAAAGCTTATTATCAATCTTCCCCTTAATCTACTACTCAGACTTGGGTAGTGATCGTTTTACCTCTACAATCTCTAACAATATAAAAAATCATGATGCTTAATATAAATTGACAGAAAAATTACTTGAATCTTAATTAGATAAATAAAGATTAAAAAACCCACCTCAAGATAAGTGAGTTTGAACCCATTATCAGTAATTGAAGAAGATAAAGACCCAGTTGCACTATCTTCTGAAACAAGAGCAGATATAGCCCTTCCCCTTCCTAACCTATTTAAAGGCAAACAGTATAAAAAATGGCAATTTAATGAGCAACAATAAAAACTCAAAGACTGGCAACTTCAGAATTTTGAGAAACGATGAAAATTAATATACCTGTGACTTTGAGAAGAGGGATTGAATGACGTATTTCTGGGGTAATTGCATATTGAAGAAGATGAAGATGAAGATGAAGTTGGTGTTGAGGAAATGAATGAAGAGAATTGTTTAGGGGTTAAAGAGGGTTTTTGATGATACGGAGTGAATGGTGTGAAAGTGCATCGAAGAGCAGCCATGATTGATGGATCATTGGCGTAAAGAGAGTAATAGAAATATAGAATGGCTTCACTTTGAAAGACTTGTTCAAGAAAAGGGTGGTGCTGACAAATCCACTTGGCACTACATCGTTCGGATCCTGCTTCGCGGTAGCTAGTGTGTTTTTCATAATTCATATACAACTGGTTGTATCTTGCATATCAAGATTATATTATATTTTTGTACATTGAAAATAGGTTTTATAGAAACTAACAAAAGTAGTTGATCTTTTACAAATAGAATTGTTACTTGGGTTGGATTGACCTGTACGAGGTTCCCATTCTACTTACCTACAAATATAAAAAGACTATATGAAACATGTACCATGCACGGTTTGTTTGTATTTTTTCAAATAAAATACTTTACTAAATATCTATTTATCTAATAAACTTTGTGATATTCGCTTGTTTACTACTTAAATTTTTTTATTATAAAATGAATTATTAACTTTGTTTCTCATATTTAGATAAAATTCATAATATAAAAAGATAATATTTTATTTCACAAAGTTTCATATGTGGCTGGTCACTCCGTGTGGTTGGGGATTACTTGGTTGATCAAGGGTTATTCAATCGATCAAGAATTTACTCAAACGGTCAAGGGTTATTCGGTCAGTGTTTGGGTGTGTCTTAGCCGACCACACGATATGACCATCCACACAAAAAACCCGCTGATTTTATTTTTATAATTAATATAAAATTTTGGGAAATTCTACATGGTGGCCTCTAGGATTCAATTTTTATACGTGGAAGACAAACTTTTTTCCAACTTTCTTTAGTGGCACCCAAGTTTTAATTAATTTGCATAGTGCCCATTTTAAGGTTTAATGGCTAACCTTTATAATTAAAATGGTTAACCTTAGATTTTTTTATTAAAAAATTATTTTATAAATAATACATTATATTTTTTAAAAAAATAATCCCAATCACCAACCCAGCCACCACCACCTCGACGGAACCCTAACCCCACAGCCCATGCTGGCCAGCCGTCCCTCGCGCCGGCCGATCGACCATCCCAATCCTACCCCTTTCCTTTCCCCGATTCGACCCCCCTCCCTTTCCCCTAACCGGAATGATCCCCCTCCCCTTCCTCCACCGCACGCGAGCTAGCGACCCAATCAGCCCCCACCATCCCTTATTCTCTTTACCCTGACCTCCGTGAAGCCCTCTTATCCCCTCGTCGACCAGCCACCTCCTCTCCTTTCCCAGCGGCGACCCACCGATACCCCAACCTTCCTCTTCCTTCGCCGGCGTCCCCTAAATCCCCCGTACCTCTTTAAGATTTTGGCAATTTGTTGGGGGTTGCTGGCGAGGGGAGAGGAGGGTTGGGGGAAAGTTGGGGTTAGAGGAAAAAGGAGGCCGATGCGGGGATCCGTTCGCCGACATATATGGTGGTGGCTGGGAAGAGGATATTGGTGGTGGTGGTTTTTCCTTTTTTTTTTTTTTTTAAAAAAAAAGTATTATTTTAAAATATAATTTAATTTTTTAAACCAAAAAACCTAAGGTTAACCATTTTTATTATAAAAGTTAGCCATAAAACCAAAAAAAAGGACACTATACTTAATTTTGCAAAACCATAGTGCCACTTGATAGAATTGAAAAAAAAGTTTGTTTTCCATGTAAAATTTTTGAAACCTGGAGGTCACCATGTAGAATTTCCCTAAAATTTTTGATCTAAAATATATTGTAATTCTCTTTTTTCGTTAGCTAAAATATAACATTTTCCTATGTGACGCTGCAATATTAATCTTACGTGGCATAATCCTATTGTAGCGTTTTAAAACTATTAATCCTACATGGACTTTTTTTTATATATATTTTTTTTATTTTATTTATTATTATAATCCTACGTAGCGCTTTAAAAAAACTAATCTTACGTGACATAATCTGATTGCAGCGTTTTAAAAATATTAATCATAAGTGGCGCTCTAATAATTTTTTAAAAAATAAAATCCTACATGGCGCTCTAAAAACTCGAGAAAAACTCCCCTTTATATTATATATATACTAGTATTGTGCCTCGGGCAATGCCCAGACTGTTTATTGAATTTTAGGATAAACATTTTGACTTGAAGTTAAACAGGGTCATATAATCACTTTTGATAATGCAGGATATTTAGACATATGATATCATACTTAAATTGTTTTTACTTAAATTGTTTTTACTAAATTGAAAGTATTTTTACCGATTAAAACTTATTTATACTAATTCTATATTATTTTAAATATATTATAAATGGATCTTATTTTAAGGAACTTTTTAAAATATGATGGAAATAGAACCGAGTTATTAGATTTTTATTAAAAGTTATGATTAATTTTGTATATAGGAAATATTATAAGTGTATCGATAATAGAACTTTATACAACGTTTTTATCTTCAAAAATCTATCCAAAATTCGATTATTTAGCATCATATGTGTCACAATTATATCTATAAAGAATATTTATTAAAAGTTTAATTTTGTATACATGAAATATTAGAATTATATCGATAACAAAACTCTATACAATAATTTTATCTTAAAAAATTTATCCAACAATCGGTTACTTAGCATCATATGTGTCACAATAATACCTATTTATCTCCAACGTGGCGTGACACTTGGCGAAAAACTAAAATGCCAAATGTCGCTGTCTCATGACCTGGCTGCAAGACCGACTTTATTTATTAGTGATATGATATTAGATTTGGTGTTTTTTTTTTTTCCTTTTCTTCGTTGTTTTGGTGAGTAGGTCCTATAAACAATGGACCTTGATTTCAATGGTCCTATGCTCCTATCTACATTGAAAACTTGACGTTCAAATGCTTATAAAACGGAACTTTTGATCTTAGTGTTTAGACAAAGTAATCCTAGTACAAGAACAATATCTTCTTGTAGGGTTATTCGCTAATCATTATTATACTATTTGTTTTCAATCTAAAAAATGGAAACCAAATTAAGTAAAAATGGATTGGCTGGATTATCAATTTGTAAACAAAGCAATTAAGACATCAATGATCAACTCAAGGACGCAATCTCATTGAAAAGGTTTTAATTGTGCCTTAGTATTTAGTCCTGCAAGATGCAACAAAAAATCAGCATGGACACTGTACAGCAGCTCCAGCTTTGAAATCTGCATTTACACTCCAAATCCTACATTGGCCTTAACGGCCTACCGTCCTAGCCTTATGAATATTGACTTCAGCAAGACAGGAACAAAACTCCTTTCTGAAACAAAACTCCAGGCTCAGGTAAGCCTGGTATACACAAGTAGCGAAGAGAATCAATCTTTTTTACACAACCAATGACACTGTACAAGTAACTTTGGTTTGCGTTCAGCTACTGAAAGCAATTTCTCTTTCCCATCTTTGAGGCTCGTAAGGGGTAGTGGTCACGACCGTTCTACCTTCCAAGGATGGCAGCTCATAATCTACTGGGATCTTTTGCTGCCAGACAAATGCATTTTCATCATTGCATTTTTTTAGCATATCAGAGATCTTGTAAGCTTCACTTTTAAAAATGTCTCGCCAAGACTGTTCTCCAGGTAAGTTCTTTGCTTTACTCAGTGCACAGTTAAGAAGACCAATGGCAACTCCCATTTGTTCAGACTGTTTGTAGCTTTCAGCAAGGTGTCTATAACTTTTCAATTCATGTAGAGTACTGCAAGTATATATAAACTCCTGCAGATAACAAAATTGCAGCAATGGCGTTTATATCAAGAAAGAAGAACGGGATACAATATGGACAGACGCCACAGTTATAAATTCAGAATTAAGCTCTTTGCTTTGCTTACTTAATAGGTGCAGAAATGATGCACTTACTAAAAATTTGCGAGAAACATCTTTAGGTTCTGATTGCAGAACAGAACTTGCTTCATCCAAGAGCTGTGTAACACCATAGTGCAATTTTGCTAGAGCACCATTGGACAATCCCTGCTTTTCGGCAATTCTTATGGCTATTGCCTATAATTTATTGAAAAAAAAAAAAAAAATCGTCAAAACTTTAAAATCACATCTGACCGAAGAAGTATTGACATTGTAATATCTGACTGAATTCCTATGTTATACATATGAAGATGAGAGATAATTAATAATGGACATACCTGAGCTTCCGCCAAGCAAATATTAATCATTGCAGAAGAGACATTGGTTGTAGTTTCTGGTGGCTTCTCTGGAGGCAAGATAGACTGCAACAGTGGAAGGACTTCAGCACTCAAATAATTGTAGATTCCAGCTGCTTTTCTCAGAAGGCTGGCAGATTGCTGCATATCTATGATAATGATATAACTCAAATTTAATACAGATGCGGGAACCAATATATTTCTTTTGCTAAGCAGGTGAATTAAGATTGCTTATTAAGTACTAACCTTCTGAAAAAACTTCAAAGGCTCTCTCACGGATAGTCAAACCATAAAGAAATAGAACCATCCCAAGCTCATACTTCAAACTATTTATCTGGAAAAACTTTGGACCGCCAAATCTAAACTTCATAGAGCTAAGGGTGCTACTCCACTGTATTCTCAACTCTAAGATCAGCAACTTTTTATTTCGACTTATTGAATTAACTTGGACAATAAAGTTCTCCAACAGTGGCAGATACTGCTCAAGTTTCTGAATATTCTGAGACATTTGAAAGATTCCTTAGTTAAGGGACAATTTGTTATTATCAGAGAGTTATCAGAATGAGACAAGCACCACACATCAGGAATTAAAGAATGGTCACCAAATTATCATGAAAATGGACTATGTCTACAGAAACCAAGCAATTATCAGAAATCTTAGCCACTCTAATGTAGATTAAGACTTTTCAGGTTCATTCATGAATATGCAAAGTTTTTACTTGGTGGTAACGAGTAAGCATAGATCAATATCCAATTTTTCATAGCATCTTGTCTTGAATCTTGAGTATTTTTAAACCTTGTGCCAAAGTGCAAACAAATAGATCCCAGTAAAAGCCGTACAAGCCAAATTTCCTTCAAATAAAATTAATTGTTTCAATTATTATGTAACAGGGACATAAAAACATTATGCTCAACTCTGTAACATCTAAAGGAAATGGTATGCCAATTTTGGAAAATTTAAAATGTTGTTTCAAGTGTCAACAGAGCCAACATCAAGCCTAAATTAATTATCTCCTACCACTCCTCATCAGAAAAGCAGGTTTCAAGAGGAGCAAACAATGAGATAAGTACGCTTCAGAATGGTGATTTGTACTTTAAAAAGAACATTTGAAGATATTATGCATGATATTGTCATACAAGTAAATTGACTCATAAAGACTAGAAATTCTTCTTTAAGCCTTGAGAGTGACCCAAATCTATTTTGAGGTGGTTACACTGATTATTTTGAAGGATAAGTCTCTAAGTGGTCTAACTGCTCAAATGTATATATGCATATAAGCACTTGCTATAGCAACTTTTCACATCTCCTTCATCTTGGTCAACAGTGATTTTTTTGCCTTTTTTGGGTAATAATACTCCTGATTTACAACCTCACTTAAATCTAGAAACCGCCACAAAGCCTTTGTCTTTATACACAAGAAATCATGAATATATATCCAAAATGCAGTGATGAAGTGTTTGACTTGTTGAAGCCATGGTTTTGTATTCATGTTTGTTAAATAAAGATGATTATGAGAGCTCTGCTATCAAAAGCAAGATTTTTATCAAGAGATGGAATAGATGTTTTATTGTGAAAGGTATTCTACATATGTGTGCATCTTTATTGCTAGCAGCATAGGTATATATATAAGTAGTTTAAGTTAAGACCCTAGGGCTACCATAGGGGTTGTCAGCTAGTCATCTGACCTAATATTGAAGATGCATTATTAGGGAATTATTTTGAAGTTTAATTTAAGCTTGTTTATGATCACAGGATTGCAATTACATTGAGTAGGATTGCAAGCACAAATTTCTCAACTTTGTTTGTTGTCATACAGAAAGGCTTAGTCAACCACTTCCTTCTGAGGTACGACAGGTCCTTCAAGGAGGAGGTTTAAGCAGAAATTCAAATTTGATTGAAACCACAGTATTACTCTTATTGTTTTAAGGTGGGAAACCATTGCTTCATGTATTGGAAAGCTTAATTTGTTTTGTTACAGAAGGGTAAATTTAGCTGATTTTGACAGAAGGGTAAATTTAACTGCCTTTTGAATATTGTTGCAGCTTGCTGCTGCTGCTATAAGCCAGTAAGCTATTAAACTTGCTTATAATACTACGTCTTTCATTCTTAGCTGGTTAAATGTTTTATTGCTGTTGCTTGTGTTTGCTACGTCAGAGCTGCAGGTTGGTGCACCAGTTTTTGACAGGATCTGTTTGGATGTGTTAATTTCTGTGGCTTAGCATATGATGTTGTCTACTTGAAGATACTAGGCCGGGCCAACTGGACGTGTTGCATTCCCTGGTTCATTTTTAAGCCTCACAAGGTAACTAACAAATTTTATCAAACCCCGCCCCCCCCCCCCCCCCCACCCGCCCCACCCTCTGAAACCCTTCCCATCTTCGGTAGGTGGTTTGAAAGCACTAGGAGGCACAATGTTTAAAACTATCAACAGACAAATCCTTTCTTATGGGGAGTGAAGACAGAAGCCATGTCCTTGCATATTTAAGCTATAAGTGGAACATAGAATGGACAATTAGCATTAGTAGCTGAGTTTCTTAATAAACAACTGATAAGCCAAGATCTAAGAGATAAAGAGAAGATTTTGGGGGAAAAAGCACAATCGAGATCGTTACGTAACACTATACCAGGCAAGACAATTACATTGAAGAGCTAACCTGTTGACTACGAGAAGTCAGCCCTCCAGACATCTCCCTTGCAGTAGCTTCTGTGATGAAGCTGGTTGCGTTTACAGATTCCTCAATCACTCTACGCCTTGCAGTTAGTTCTTTCAGATGCTCAAGACTCGCAGAATCAAGCACACTGAAAACATCTTCAAACACAATCTACAGGCAAACAGAAATTATATCATAAAACCAACAAGACTGAAACAGAATCAATCATTTCTTCTTCTCCCTAGCAGAAAGATTACCAGTAAGTTAAGTTGAGTTTAAACCACATTAATAGATTCACTTCACAAAACATGATGTGAACCAAGATAATGTCAAAATTATGTAGAACTTCATAGAGCTACCCACTATGCTGTATGAATAGCAATCAATTGTCATAAGGGAGCAAGACAAGTCATGATCACAAGAATGCTCGATTACGGAATACTATTCTATAATCCATACCCATAAATTCCCATTCCTAGTACTACCAAAATGTACCATCTCCTTCATTACTGCCATAATTTAATTTTCCACCTTTTAGTTTGCTTTAATTGTTGTTTCTTAGTTTGTTTTTTTCCCAGTGAAACAACAAGCAGAAGGGGCAATTCATACCTCAGCTCATTCCATACCTCACTTTAGGTACCCAACACAGCGAACTATGATGATTTCAGCGGGCGAAATCGATTTCAATTGCATCAACCACTAAACCCCCAATAATGTTTTACAGATTGCCAACTTAATAACACAAATTAGACTGCCAAAAAAACATAAAAATCCAAGCAAAGAGCAATCTATTTCAGGCAATAAACAAAGAACATCTAAATCTTGATTTTTTTATAATCCACAAAAATCAGCTAATTCTACAAGAAAACTCAATCACCCAAAACTTAGAATGATCAATGTATTGCAGAAACTAAAAACCCCAATTCACCACCATTTCAGAAATAAATTGCCAACAGAAAAAAGAAAAAGAAAAAGAAAAATACCCTTTTTGTCTTAAGCCCTGAAAACCCATTATACTGCAGCATCATCTTTAGTTCTTTACTGGCGTAGTTGTCTCTTTCTCTCTCCTTTCTTCCCAAAAATCCAAAATACCAATTAAATTAAATTTGAATGTAATCCCAGAAAAAAACGAAAGAGAGAATCTGGATGCTAGGAGAGTGAAAAATTATTAGAATTTGGCAGAATACTGATGATAATCTACCTAAATCAGGAGACAAAGAAAGAAGAAGAATTTGTGATCATATATTAATTTATTTATTTATTATTGATAAAGTTAATTCCAAATTTCGTCTGAACTTCGTTTATTTCTAGGAAGATCTGTTCTGGAAGGCGGGAGGGAATTTCGTTGAGTGGGGACCCTCTTCACATAATCGGGTAGAGTTAAACTGATAAAAACCATATTGAGCACATATTTCATGAAGTATTTCCTTCGTTTTTACTCCTTTTTTTTTTATTATGTTTTGTAATTTATACTTAAACTAATCATATCATATCACTAATAAATAAAGCCGGATCTCGCAGTCAGGTCACGAGACAACAACATTGTGACACATATAATGCTAAGTAAGAGAATTTTGGATAGATTTTTTAAGATAAAAATGTTGTATAGAGTTTTATTATCAATATGCTTTTAATATTTCATATATACAAATTAATCATAACTTTTAATAAATATCCTATAACTCGGTTCTATTTACATCATAAAATTCGTTTTAAAATGTTCTTTAAAATAAGATCCATCTATAATATATATTTAATTTATTTTAAAAAAATAGAAAATAAGTAAAAACAATTTTAGTTTGATAAAAGTACTTTCAATTCAGTAAAAATAATTTAAGTTTAATAAAAAAAAAGTCAAGTTAATAATAACATAGATATCTATTTACTAATAAAACTACAAAAAGTACACTATTATATAAAGGAAAATTTGCCCAAAATAACACGAACTTTGGTCGGTTCGCCAATAATAACACCACCTTTGAGTTATCCCAAAATAACACCAACTTTGGGGGGTGTCTTCCAAAAATGGTACAAAAAAAATGGTAACCGGATTTAGGAGGTAATATTGCTGACGTGTGTTATGTTTTTGCCAGGTTGTGCGTTGCTTCCCCTTAACCATCCAACGTGTAATTAAATTTTACACACCTAACTCCTGTCTCCCTCTTTAATTCATTTCCCTCCATATTTCACTCTCTTTCTTCGTCTTCCAACCATTTTATCAGAGAATCTCAGAGCATATTCAATTCCTCATTTCGTCATTTCCCTTTGAAATAATCAGAACTCAATTCCGAAATTCTACTGCTCCCAAAGAAAATTGCATTGAAGTGAAGTGAAGAGAAGAGTGAAAAAGTTGCGATCTTTGGTTCCCAAAATGCCCAGAAAGACGAAGAAGAAAGGTTCGTGTTTTTTTACTTTCTTTGTTTTGTTTGAATTATGATTGTTGGGTGGATTTTATGTGTTCTAATTTGAATATGGATGTTCGTATGTTTAATTATGCTGTTAATTGTTAAAGTAGGTTTAATAATTAGGTTGATTTGTATGGTGAATTATGTTGTTCACTCGATAAATTTTCTTGTTAATTGCTGAATTAGGGTTAATTACTTGAGTGTTTGTTTGGAGTCTAATTGAGCTGTTTAATTCTAGGGTCTGCTGCAAATACTCATGTTTTTGATAATGTGACTGTTCGATTCTGGTATGGGGGTCAATTTAAGCATGTTCGTAATGGTGAAATGGTGTATAAGGGTGGGAGTTGTAGTAACTTTGATGTTGACCCAGATGAACTTTGTTACTGGGACTTAAGGGATTATGGTAGTAAGTGTGGGCTTGCTCATGTGGATGCTTTGTTTTACCAAATGCCTGGGTTAAATATTGAGAAAGGTTTGAGAAAAATTCAAGGGGATGCTGAGGTGTTAGAGATGGGTAAGTTAGCTGTTGTAAATAGGAGTATTGTTGTGTATGCAGTTCAGTTTGAGAGAAAAGTGGGAGAAGGTTCAAATGCTGAAGTTGTGGAAGTTGATGTGGGCAACACAAGTCAGAAAAGTACTTTGTTGAATGCTGACCCCAAAGTTACCATATCCAAAACAACAGGCAAGGTACTTGAGAAACCCCCACCCAAACTGAACAAAAGAAAAAAATTGACCCCAAGGAAGGGACCACAAACACAGGTGGTGAAACCCTCATTGACTGAAGAAGATGCTTCCACTTCACCTATAAAAGCATCTACCACATCACCCAAAAAAGCATCTATAACTTTACCAGAAAAAGCATCTGACCTTCCCCACAAAAAAACAAAAAAAACTGACCCAACAACCTCATTTATTCCCCACCAACCAGCAACTCAAAAAGAACAGACTCAACCCCCCTTGAAAATCACTTCAGAAACTCAACCCTTCACTCAAAACCAGTCTCTTCATCTTTCTCAATTCCCATCCTTAGAGTTTGTTTCTACTGGTGAGTTTCCTGAGGTTAACACAGATTTCAATGAGGAATTTGAGTGGGAGGATGACAGACCAGAGAGCCCTTTGAAATGGAATGAATTAGTTGCTGATGATGAGTCTAGTGATGAGAGTGATCCATTATATGATCATGAGTATCAGAAGTTTTGTGAGGGTGGGGAGTTTGAAGATGATGATGAAGATGATTTTCAGTTTGAGGTAGATGAGAGCATAGAGAAAGAGAAGGAAAGTGATTTTAGTCTATCTGACATAGATCTAGAAGGTGAAGGTGAAGATCTAGAACAGACTGATTTCTTTGAAGATGAATCTGAGGGCAGTGATGATGAGATTATTGAAGCAAGGGATAGAGTAAAGAGGGTTAATACAAAGTTACTTGAGATAGTGAAGGGATTGCAAGAAAAAGTTTGTAAGGAGAAGGAGAAGGAAAAGACAGTTGACGAGGAGAGGGAGTTTGAAGTTGATGAAGAGAGGGAGAACTCAGTTCATGAAGAGGTTGCAAGGGATGTAAACCTAAGTGACTGTGATGAAGATAATGACATTGATACACCACCTGGTAGTAGTGATGAATTAGAAGGGAAAAAGGGAGAGTTAGTGAGCCATGAAACTGATTTCAGTAAGTTTCATTGGAAGGTTGGTAAGAGGTTTGCTAATGCCAGTGACATTAAGGATGCTGTCACTAAGTATGCTGTATTACAGGGTAGAGATCTAAAGTATAGTGTGAGCTGGAAAAATAGACAAAGGTTGGGAGTGAAATGTGTTGGTGAATGTCCATTTTATTTATATTTTTCTGTGCATTCTAGAGATGCAACTTGGCTAGTGAAGAGAGTAGTTGGAAATCACACATGCCATAGGAACATGAATAGTAACAGGAAGTTGAAGTCCAGTTGGGTGGCTAGGCAGTTGCTTGATGTGTTCAAAGCTAGGCCACATTGGCCAGCTAAGGAGATTGTAGACACTGTAAGGAGGTCTTACAGAATGATTGTCAGTAGAGATTTTGCTGACAAAGTAAAATACCATGCACACAAGATGTTACATGGCTCTATGAAAGAGCATTATATGAAGGTGGAGAGGTACTTGAAGGCATTGAAGGAAGCAAGTCCTGAAACAGTGTTGGAGTTGGTAGTTGCTCCACAACCTCAGAGTTCTACCCCAATGTTTAGTAGGATGTTCACTTGCTTTGATGGAGTTAAGCAAGGGTGGACAGCAGGGTGTAGGAGAGTGATATGTGTGGATGTTGCATTTTTGAAGACATTTCTTGGGGGTCAGATATTGACTGCTGTTTCCAGGGATCCCAATGAACAGATGTTCCCCATTTGTTGGGCTGTTGTGGAAGGGGAGAACAATCTGTCTTGGGAATGGTTCTTTAACCACTTAAAGAATTGCCTAGATCTTGGACAAGGAGAAGGGATAGCTATTATTTCAGATGAGCATCAGGTATAAGTCATTAATTTGTGTAATATGTTATCTCATTTAATGACGATGATTGATGATGATTGACATTAACTGGTTCTTTTTTTTTTGGTACACAGGCTATCTTACATGCTGTAAGTGTTGTTCTTCCTAAGGCTGAACATAGGCACTGTGCAAGGCATATTTTTGCCCTCTGGCACAGAACCTACAAGGGAGATGAGATGAAGCTTTTGTTTTGGAAGATAGCAAAGGCCTATAACCAGGCTGATTTCAATGAAGCAATGGATGAGTTGAGACAGATTGATGAAGAGGCTGCCCTTGCAATAACAAGGTACAATCCTCAGTTCTTCTGTAGGTCATTCTTACAGGAAGGCATCAAATCTGAGGCCATTACTAACAATATGGCTGAAACATTTAATGCTTATATCATTAATGCTATGACTAAACACATAATTTACATGTTAGAGGAAATTAGAGTTGCATTGATGCAGAGGTTAGTCAAAAAAAGACATGAGATGGAAAAATGGACCTCTTTGCTATGCCCTAAGATACAAGCTAGTTTAGAAAAGGAGAAAGAGAAAGCTGCTGATTGTGAAGTCTTGCCTTCTTCTGTGAGTCAGTTTAATGTTAGGTATTATTTGGATCAGTTGAATGTAGATTTAGTTGCTAGAACTTGTAGTTGTAGAAAATGGAATATGGTAGGCATTCCTTGCTGTCATGCCATAGCTTGCATTTATTTTGTGAACCAAGAACCTGAGGTATTTGTTGATGAATGTTACAAAGTTGAGACTTATAAGAAGGCCTACAGTGGTTGTATACCTCCATGTGAAGGTGAGAGGTATTGGCCAAGATGTCCATGCAATTTGGACCCCCCTCCTATCAAGATAGGTCCTGGTAGGCCAAGAAAGAACAAAATTAAGCACCCTCTTGAGAATCCTAAGAAGCCAGGGTCATTGAGTAGGGCAGGAGTAGAAATGACTTGTAGCATATGCAAGAAGAAGGGTCATAACAAGAAAGGCTGCAAAGACAAGGATTCTGTTGTCCATGATGAACCAGCACCCAAAAGACCCAAGGGAAGACCAAGAAAGACTGCCCCATCTACTGATGTAACCTCACATGCCCCATCTACACAAGCAACCCCAACACCCACCCTGACACAGACTGCATCATCTTCAACTCCTGCAACACAATCTGCCCACCATACTGCTACTGCACAGCCAACTCAACTAGGCAGGGGTGGAAGAATGATACTTGGAGGTCAAGGTGCTAGAAGTGTCAGTCAAAGCAGCACCAGAGGAAGAAGCTCGGCTAGTAGAGGGTCTATAACTACAAGTAGGGGAAGAGGAAGGGGAAGGGGAAGAGCACAACCATCAGGAATTGGGATAATGTTTGCTGATGATGGAAGCCCAATTGTTACAGTAAGAATTAGTACTCCCCCTTTCATTTTTGTGTTTGCTTTTTTATTTTTTTTGAAAATAAGCCAATAACTTTGTAATTTGTGTGGCAGGCACCAAATACCAGACCAAACACAAGATCTATCTCCCAGATGCAGCAGTGATCAAGTGAAGATCTTATGTGCCCCATTTCTTTTGTACTTACTAAGTATGCTTTTGGTCTAAGTGTGTAGTTTGTCAAACAATTTAGTTGTTAAACAATGTTAGAGATCTTATGTAATTAAGTATTGGAAAAAGTTGCAGGTATTTTGGAAACAGTTGCATGCATTATTGAAACATTTGCAGGCATTATAACAGTTCTGCCTTTGTCTTTTGATATTGCTGTGGTTGTGTTTTTCAATTTGTGCAAATAATTTGTGGTCTTTTGATATTGCTCTGACAAGCGCACATTAGGGCGCGCTTTAAGGCATATAAATGGGTGATTTTGGATGTATTTAGGCCCGTTTTGGTCGTTTATTGCCTTGTTACACTCGTTTCCTTCATATTACGTGCTTCACGGGTTTCGGTCTGTTTTTGGTGTGTTAACAGGTATAGTTGACCAAGTTATGTCGAGTCCCGAACCATTGGTGCGTAATCAGGATATTATCGATCCTAGTCCACCAAGCTAAGGCTTTGCTGCGGTTCTCAAGGCCTTGAAAGGCAAGTTAAGTAGCAGGCAAGGCAGAACAGTTCACAAATATGACACCTGTTCACTATTTTGCTCATAACTTTCGGTATACAAATGATAATGGAGTGATTCTAATTGCATTGGAAAGTAGACTTGAAGAGCTTTCCAACGATATATTGCACGCCTCAAACGGAGCTCTGGATAAGAAGTTGTGACTATTTTAAGAAGACCAAAGTGCCTGCAACCTTCCTGCCTATGCTTGCACGGCCGTGCCAGGCATTAGCACGGCCGTGCCAGGCATTAGCACGGTCGTGCCAAATTCAGCACGGTCGTGCTATTTTCCAGATTCAGCACGGCCATGCCAGGCATTAGCACGGCCGTGCCAAATTCAGCACGGCCGTGCCAAAATTGAATATATTGCGGATCAGCTACTGCCATGCTTGCACGGCCGTGCCACTTCTAGCACGGCCGTGCTGATTTACGAAGGGCAGCCTGCGCAATTGCTTTCTAAATTAAAACATATATATATAACCCAATTATAAGGGTTGTTTCTAGACAGTTTTAGAGAGATTTTTGGAGACAGTTTTAGAGATAGTTTTTGAGAGCCTTTGTAGAGAGTTATTGGAGAACGTTCTTAGTATTAGAGATTCATTAGTTTTCTTAGAGATTATTCTAGAGATTTTAGTTCCTTGGATTGATTTGAAGCAAGATTTGTGAAGATTCTTTGTATTATTCACTGACGACGGATATCAAGGTTCTAAACTTTTCCATTGATTCGCATCAATACAATTGGTATTATTCATTCTTGTTTATGAATCTAGCTTTATTATTCCTTAATCAGAATTCATGTTTATATCTATTATGCTTTTGGAATTCATTATTGCTTTGATTATGAATATGTGTGAGTAGTCTCCTAGCTAGGGTTTCGGGATGAAACCCGGCCTAGGTAATCTATGTAATTGATTTCGAACACCATTTTCATTGATTTCGAACTAGCTTAGGTTTAAGATTGATTTGCATTTACTCTCGTTCCTCGTGGACCGAACCTTTATTTGCCATTTTACTTGGTATTAGGGTGTTCGTATAAGAATTGTTTGATTGAGAGTTAGATTGTAGCGACCGATTTAACCCTCGTCATGCTCTGGTTTTGTTTGTTTTTCATTTTGTGCAAATAATTTGGGAAATTTGTGGTCTTTTGATCTAGCTCTGGTATGTCAATTGTACACTGCTATTGCAATTATGATGAAAATCAATTAAGTACAAAATACAACAGCAAACATTACTCATTAAACATTCAATTAAGCATCCATTAATCAATTACACTGATTGATTTTTATTTCCACATAAAACATTCAACATACATCCTCATTTCTTCCTTAATCAATGAAGGAAGATTACAACACCAAACAACAACCAAGAAAACAACAATGCTAAGTACAACGTTTTTTCATTCCTACCACACTTCATTAACTCAATCTTCATTGCAATTATTTCATTCTTCAACCCTATGATGTCTTCCTCCAATTTTCCTTTCTTTAATTGCAATTTCTTTATTTTCTCATGTGCGATTTTTTGTTCAACCTGTAACTCACCAATTATGGTTTCCTTTTCCAACAACTTCACTTCGTAATCTTCCATCTCAGCCTGCTCATTCACCCACTTGAAAAAATCACATTGAGTGTCCTGCATCCAGTAAATATGAACAATAAACAACACCAAATTAGGGTAATTACAATTACATATCCCCAAATTACAATAAACAAAAAAAGATGCAATAAACATAGGACAATCAATCACAACTTACTGGCCACATAGGGCAGCCGTAGAACTTCATCCCCAAATTAGGGCCTTTTCTCACAGTTTTAATCAAAGCTTGATTCCCACAATTGCAACGAATTTTCGAATTACCCATCCTTTTTATGCTAGAGGATGAACATGATTGGTTCGAAATTGACCTTCTTGTAGCCATTGATTAATTTTTTAAGAGCACTAAAATTGATACAACACGAACGATTAAAGAGAGATGAAGAGCAGAGGAAAACAAAGAACTTGAAGATGAAGAAGGAGCAACAAATTAAGAGAGAGGAAAACAAAGAAACAGAGGAAGAAGATGGAGCAACGACTACTGAGAGAGGAACAACAGAGAATGAAGAAGAAGGAAGAATAAAGGGCTTGGCATTTTTTTCTAACGGTTATAAAGAAGAAGAAAGAACACGTTGGATGGTTAAGGGGAAGCAACGCACAACCTGGCAAAAACATAACACACGTCAGCAATATTACCTCCTAAATCCGGTTACCATTTTTTTTGTACCATTTTTGGAAGACACCCCCCAAAGTTGGTGTTATTATTGGCGAACCGGCCAAAGTTCGTGTTATTTTGGGCAAATTTTCCTTATATAAATAAGTGATATGTGTTTAGGGTAAAAAAACTACCCTAGACACGTGGCCCAATGGCCCTTTGACACATGGCAGCCTCTCAGAGGTCTACAGGGCTCCAATCCCCTAGTGGCACGTGTCCATGGAACCCTAGATGAGGGACAGGTTCCCCCACTATAAATAATGGACCAAACCTTATTTATTGGGCATTCATAAATTCACTCATAAATACAAAACACATAAACCGAGCAATATTCATTGGGGAATTCTCTCTGAATCAGAGAGAAGTATTTACCATTTCCGTACAATTTACTACTCCGGACGTTTACTAATTGATCGTCGGAGGCGGAGCTCCCACTAATCGGAGTCTTCGTTGTTTTGCAGGTACACGCGTCGGCTGCGCATACTAGGGATTGTAACTCTCCCGAGGGACTCCAAAAACCCCTGAAACATTTTGTGCCGTCTGTGGGGAGAGTACTTCCAAGATGACTTCTGATCCTGTACCTACTACTGAAGGCAAACAACCTATGGTCGAGCCTGAGGTCCAGACGGACCAAGACAGTGGTGACGACTATGAAGTCGACACCTATGTGGCCCCAGACGGGTCCTTCAGAACAAAACACATCCGCTCCAAAGAAATAAAGGAGCGGGTTGAAAGCCAGGCTGCTCCAGGCAGCCCGACCGGCAAGCCGACTGGGGCAACCCAGCCGGCAGAAGGTGTTGCTCCCGTCACGAGAGACGAACTCATGAAATTCATGACAAGTTTCAAGGGCGAGATCAAGAGCCTTCTAAACAAGTCCACTGGCTCTCATAAGGGTCAGTCGGCCAAGAAGCTTCCTTCCTTTGGGAAGAAGGCGCTGAAAGATCGTGTGCCTACCCCTCACCTGAAACCAAAGGTGGAGGATGGGCCCACGATCGACATCTCAAATCTTCGTTTCCCTGAGACGGGGCAAAGGAAGCTCATCCGGCAAGTACAGCCGGATGGATCAAAGAGGACTTACTCTGACACCCGAATGTTCATCCAGGAAAAGAGAAATCAACAGCTGTCCGCGTCGGCTTCAACGTCGACCTACCCAGACAGCTTCCGAAATGCTTCCATAAGGCATTCGGAATCAAACGAGGGGAGTTAGTCGCGCGGCCCGTCCGCACGTTCTGGTCTTAAAATTATCCAGCCGGTACAGTATGGGTCACCGTACATGCCGTATGGATCTCCATACATGCAGCCGGCCCTCTTCGGGGGTCAGGCGGCACAACCGATCCAACCTATTGACTGGCAGCTCCGGCTTCTTAAACTTGGGGAACAACCAACGACTTTCTCCAGGGAAATTACCGAGGTGGCACAGACGACCAAGGTTAAAAGCGTGTTGGTCGGTACCTATGACGGTACCGCCAACCCAGAAGACCACCTAATGGCTTACACCAACCTCATGTACTTACAGGGGTTGGATGACACCGCCTGGTGTCGATGCTTCCCGGTTACATTGAAGGGCATAGCCCAATGATGGTTTGGCAACCTGCCAGCCGGGTGCATCAACAACTTCAAAACATTGGCGTACTTGTTTACGTCAAACTCCTCCATGAACATTCCTGCCAAAAAGACAAGTCTCGATCTCGGGGCCATACAACAGGGGGAGAAGGAAGGACTTAGGTCCTACGTCAGGCGGTTCAATCTGATGAGAATTCAGATCCAAGGGTTGTCTAACGATGTAGCCTACACAGACTTCTTCAAGGGTCTGAAGGACGGGTCGACCTGGTCAGGAAGAGGGTTGCTACCCTCCAAGAGGCACTAATGGAAGCTAAAGCCTATATACAGGCGATGGAGCTTTGTGCCGTGAGGCATCCGTCGGACCCTAAAAAGTCCGAGAGGAGAGAGAGCCGGCCATCCCAGCCGGCAAAGAAGGAAGAAAAGAAAAGAAAAGAAGTCTGGGCAGCAGATCAATCTGGTCAGCCGGCCTAAAAGAGCAGAAGAAAATCAGAACCGTACGTCCCAAAGTATGAGTTCACCAATGACTGCTCCTCCATCCTCATGGAGATCAAAGACCGGTTGACTCTTGAAAAACCGGCAGCAATAAAAAGTCCCGTTAGCAGCTGGGACAAGAGCAAATACTGCCAATTCCATGA